ACGGTACTGCTCATGTCTATACGCGACGGTTACCACTTTCCATCAGATGGGCCGTCAGCTTGTTTTCCATTGTATGTTGCATTAAATAAATATACTCCTAATAGTACAAGTATACGGTGCATATCATCTGAAATCTTGCAGACTTGACAATTGGGTTTGTAGAATTTTCCGTCAGACGTGTAAATTTTCATGATGAGTAATGTCCAGAGAGATCTATTTTGATCCATAGAAGTAAGGAATATGTGAAGGTTCAGAATGGGTAGTAATATGTGCTCATTTCTTTTGAAATTTTATCAAAATACATCATACCAATCAAAATATTTTTGAGTAGAATAGGCTAAAAGTGTGAGGTATAGTAATAAGAGAAATAACTGCATTTCAAAATTATTATGCCAGTGGATATGGTGTGTAGTGTGTGTGCAAAAGAGATTCACTGATAAGAGCACGGCTTTTATTATGAATAGAATGTATACAGTAGTTTTTTTTATAATAGTACGACACATTGACTCCATAGTCGCATGATGATTATGAAATCTATCTCTATTAATTGTAGATCCAATGCAAGATTGCATCTATATATGGACCGCAAGTTTTTTTATGGATGGTAATGAAATGGCAACCCCGCTTGCGTTAGCGGTATATGCTGGCGGGGCACCAGTGAGGGATGATTGGTGAGAATGAAAAGTCAGGCTAGTTAGCCCATCGTGGTAAATACACCTGGAATTCGGCGCGATGGTTTCCGGGAGGACCAGTGGAGATCGACCTGACAAGGTGTATTGCTAGCAATAGGATTGGTAGTTTTCATTGCTATCAATCCCTCCCCTCCCGAGCCGCAGGTTAGATACTACCACCACTATATCAGCTTATATGTTTATATAAGCTAGTATAGTGGCGGTATATATACTTTTTCACACCTTTCTTGAAGAGGTCGAAGTTATACTTGGCAGGAAACACAGATCCATAACTTGATGGTTCAACAAAGGTAGTAAGCTGGCAAACTTTTTGACCCTAGTATGAATCTCATTAACAATGATGGATATGGATGGGATGAATATGGATGCATCCAGTTTAATCATAAACTAACACATGGCTTGTAGCTTTGTTCCGATTTTCTTATAATGAAAAAATTAAAAACATATTTATGATATCTCTTATTATACAAGATATACTACTTGGCTACTTTTATGAATTTTCAATAATTGGATATTCTAGTAAAATCAATTTGCTGCGTATCCGATGAATTTCATGGATTTTCTCTTATAAATGCATCCTAGAGCTATTTCTGATATGAGTTTAACGGATATACAAATATGGTAAGTTGGTTTATCATCGTTATTATAACGCACCATTAACGTCCCACTAGTTGTTCGAGTCTCTTCCTATAAGAGTTCTTTACGCATATTACTTAATTATATGCATATTGGTTTCGTAAATTTTGTATTATTTCAAGTTTCTCTTCTCTAAAGTTTCTTCCTTAATTTTGAATTTATTTTGTAAAGAAAGAGGTAATCATTTCGACTGTTTTTTATGTTATACGATATCTTCACCACTTCAGAACAAACGTTAACAATTTTTTTTATCGAAAGGGTTTACTCCCACGTTATCGCTATGTTTATTTTTAAGATTGATAATTTTGTATTGTGGAACAAAGCTAAATTATCCTTCTTTAAGGTGATTTATAATCGAAGTTTTTATAAGAAAACAAACCCATTGATATAAGATATTTAGTGGGTATAGTATTTTTAATTTACCAGGAATGAAAAACAAGTTAGCGAAATAGGTAGGTACCTAATGGAAAGTGGTAACCGTTGCCTACAAGTTTAAATTACGAGTATAATCTACTACCATAAAAATAAATAGGTTTTAATTTTATAGTACTACCACAGTTTCCCAAATTCATTGCTTCTAAGTACTAATATTTACTGTTTTTTCTTTCAGAAAGTTTTTCTTATATTCTTATTATTTATATTTCTCGATTTTACTACATGTTACCATAAAGATGTAATTCAAATTTTAAAACCAGTATTGACGGATTTCACTGATGATCCTGCAGTAACGATTATAAAATTCAATAAGGGATATACAGAAGAAAAAGGAACTGATGGATTGTTAAGAAAAAGAATTCCTGATTACATTAATAATCTCTATTATAATGAATTGGACAAACGTGGGAAAACAATTTATTCCAAATGGATATATAATCTTAGAGATGTAGTTATTTTATTAAGAGAAAGATTTGACGTGGAATTAGTAGTAAATTAGTGCATTATTGTAATAAAAAAAAATGTGAATTATGAAAGATTTTTAGTCGTTTCTTTGTTAATTTCCTCCTAAATATGTAAAAGCAAAACTAACAACGGGGGTTATTGCTATAACTTAATTAACAGTAACGAAATGGATCTTCCATTATTTCAGAGCTATTTATAGTTATTTAAATATTACCTCTGATTACAGAGTAAATAATTTATTTATTTTAATTTATTAGTTCTAATTCGACTTTCTCATCATATAATGTAAGCATAATAAGAGTCTTTATTATTAAGTCAGACATAACGTGACTAAGAAACTCACATATTCCGTAGGTAAAATTTATCAAATTTAAATTTGTATGGACAATACAAATTATACTTATAAAAATAAAATGCAGTGACAAAATTACAGAAATAGAAACCGACATTATTTGTTTCCATTGTTCCTCTATTAGTTTCACTATTGTAAAAAAAAACACGTGTAAAATTATTTAAATATCTGAGCGTTCAAGCTTCAATTAATTCCTTTAATGATCTACAGTTACCGTATGTCCCGGCATAGAATGGGACCACCCTTTCCAATTTCCATATCATAAGAGATTACTAAGTGAACTTAATGGTCGAGGGACAGCAGAAACGTCCCTCTTAAACATCACCAAAAGCCTAACGCGGTTGCCCACCCGTCTATCACGGGGGAGGCCTATGTTCAGTAACGGACATTTAACGGCTAATTATGATGACCTCCAATGGATTTTGTAAATATATTTAATAAAGTTTAAGACTACGGTAACCACTTACCATCAGGTGGGCCGTATGCTTGTTTTCCACCTCAATGGTATAAAAAAAATACTAAAATTATAGTTTAACTTTTTTTGTATGTATGTAAATTTTTTTTATGGAATGCGAAATGATAGGCATATGACCTACCTGATGAAAAGTGGTAGCAGTCGCCTACAGACACGAACAGCAGTGCGGACATTATAAAATATACTGTAAAGTCCATAATATCTCTGATATGTTACTCCTCCTGAGAACTAATATGTTATACCTTGTAATTTCACTACTGTTATGCACCCTGTATGTGTTATACAGGCAAGAACAGCTACTTGTCGGCAGAAACATGAATAGGATAAGAAATTATATTTAAAAAGTGCTTATTAAATATAAAACATAATAAGTTTACTTAAATAAGGATTACGATTTACTTATTACTATATATTGTTTATACAGATACACTGGCGGATGACTTTTACAAATTAACAAAGCCGTCTACCTTTTCATTATAACTTATTATAATATCTAATAACTGCTAGAAATAAGGTCAATATTATATATTACACATAAATATTTGTGTTTCAAAACTTACAGCTAAGTGTCTTTATATATTTAGCTCTTTAACTGAATAAATTTTCATTTAAAAATTTAATTGGCGTAAAATAAAATTATATTTCTAATTAAAATTGGAAATTTATCGTACAAAAGAAAATAAAATAGTTATAAAAAAACTACTTCATTGAATAATTTTGACGTGTTGAAAATAATAACTTTATGCATTCTAATGTTTTTTCAAGTATATTTCTATATGTGAGCGATTAATTATTTTAAATTATATATAATATATAAATAAACGTATAAAATAATACATGTACACATTTCGACATTACAGATTATCCCTATTCCAGTTATACAAATTGACTGCAAAGTGAACACAACTGATCTCATGAGGTGATTTTATAGTAAATATATATGTACTAATTAGTATTATTTTTAATTATTGCATCCAACATAAATAAATGTCTATCTAAACAGTTGGATTGAAAATTTTAATTTTTTTTTAATAGCAAACGCTGTAATTAAATTTTAATTACAGCGTATTATTTAATTTATATAGACTTTCATTACTATACAATCAAATCAAAATTTGTACTGTTGGATAGGATTTATATTAGTATATATAGTCTGATTTGGACTTAAATGGATCCAAAATAAAAATTACAAATACTGGCTACTTCCTGTCATATTGTGATTACAATAAGGTTATAATAGTAGTAAACAAATATAAAAATTGCAGAGTTTGTGGAGGTAAAGTTCATCATATTGCAATTAGTATTAGCTTTCATTAATGGCATTCTTAAACACATAAATTTAATAATGCACTCTTGAACGAAAAAAATAGATAAAATCATTAATTATTTTAAGGCTATTTTTTCAAGGTACAACGACAAATACGAACTTTAGTTCCCATCCAATTATAAGAATTAACTTAGGTATTAAATCATTATTACGAATACAATTATTAATACTAACATTGTTGTTATTAACTACTAAAGTCATAAAATTTAATGTACATCTTGTATCTCAATTTGTATTGGGATCCAAAATCTTCGAGTGATAAAACAGAGTAACACGTAAGTGATGCCTATGTTGATATAATTATTTGTTATCAGGTAAGTATTCTCCTTATATAAAAAAAGGTAAAGGCAGACTGATTATATCGTAATGGCTGAACATTTATCACACATAAAGAATAATTGAGCAAACGTTAAAGACCTTACTTCCTATTAAATAATATTAATAACAATAATCTAACGTATTCCATGTAATTATGTAATTTAACAGGACTGAAATAACGTCTAAAAATAAAAATGATACAAAACATTTTTTAATAATCAAAATAGAAGATTAGTCGTCACCATTAATTCAAATTTTGGGTTAAGACAGGGAGAGAGAAACAAAAAAAAAAGAAAAAAGTTGAGAGTCTTTCTTATGAAGAATATGAAAGTTCTGGTAAATTATTAAATAAATTCACCATGTATAATCTCAAAGATGTTGCAAGATTTTTCGAAACTTATCTTGAAACCGAAATATGTCACGTTAGATGTAACGATTAAGATTTTTTTGCACTTTTTATATAAAATTTATCCCAACAAAGATGCAACTGCTGCTCCGCCAAGACGTTCAGAAATCTCTTCGTCAGTTGTTGTCTGTAAAAAATATTAATAATGAAGTGTAACCAACGTGATTCAAATATATAAAATGTTTTTATTAGACAGAAATAAAATGTAATATCAATTAAAAAACATATATCTATAATACTTTACCGAGTTCCAATCTGTGGTATAGTCAGTAGTCGTTTCGTATGTAATTGTGTTAATTATATTCGAATTGTCATGATAATTTTTAGATCCATTATAATCTTGTTCAAAATATTCTCCTTGTTTTTTATAGTTTCCAATTACACTAGGAGACTCCGTATATTCTTTTTTAAAGGAAATTAGTGGCTGCGAATCGTTTGATGTTTTAACGTTCTTTATGTTTTCCAATGGATGTTTTAACTCAAGTATTGGTGTTGGACTGTACAAAAATAATTATTTAAAATCACAGTAAAATATATATTAATTAATTAATTAAACAATTAATACTTACATTCGTATTTCGATGTTCGGGATTATTTTTTTAGGGTCAATATTATTAACTAGTCCTGACAATTGACTAGGGAATACATTTTCAAAATTTAATGGTAAAGACAAAACAAGACCAGTCAAATAGCACCAAATTATTAACATCTGGAATAAAGTAAATTAATTAATATTGAATAAACATTGATTTTTAAAATAAAAGTTTCGTGATAATCGATTTAAGATAAATTATCGATATCTAAATCTTACATTTATTGAAAATATATTACGGTTTATTTCACTGGAACCCATTAGTTACGATAACTTCGCTGACGAGATTACCACTGTTTTATAATACACAAAAATAATCGTCCACTTTTAATAAACTCTTGTTACTGTCAAGGAAGCAATGTTGTATAACATACTAGTCACTGCATTTACGGGTAAGTACTGAGTGGCTCTTCTCGATTATATTCTCAGAATACACTTTTTTGTGAGTTTCATTAGTGGTTTAAAGTTTAAATGATACTCGAATGTTCATTGGTTAATGGAGGATCACAATAATTCTAACGTAATGTTTTTTGTTAATCAAAATAATAAATTAAAGTTCTGTAGTGTAAACGTAAAGATTTATTCACAGTGTCCAAATACAAAGCCAATTATAATAGGCAGCGTTAAATTTCTTCTAGCTGGGTACTAAACGTACAATTTATTAAGTTTCAAGCAATTCTTGATTATATTGTAACTAATTAAAGAAGTGATAGCTCTACATTGAGAATAGTGATGATTCAATTAATGTTAGATGTTACATCATCAAGTTTTAACATAATTTACATGTCGTATCATATTTTTGGGTGTTCGCAATGCTAAACGAATTTTATAGAGTAATATTTTTTATAATTTTCATTAAAATTTAATTTATCGTAATAGTATGTACGTATAAAAAGATGTACTACTATTTCTAGTTATTAGATTACGGTATTCAGGTGCCGTTTGAATAAAATATTTAAAGAGAAACAGTTAAATGAGTAGACAATTTGACTAGCTGACGTGAAGAGATCTGGGAATCTATATTTTTGTCTAAACTTACCTTGAAACAGAAATTTATATTTTTGTCTAAACTTATCTTTTTATACTACTATGGTGGCAAACAAGCATACGATGATAGTATAGTATTTAATGGTAGAATAGCATCTAATAGTAAATACAATTACCGTAGCTTATGGATGCCTGTAACAACAGGGATGTACCGCGTGCGTTGCTGACCCTTAAGAAATCTTAATACTTTTTTAAGAACCCTATGCTATAGTTTCTAGGGTAAACTTCGGCACGGAGATCATTTCATAACTTCAACGTTCGCTTCTCTGAAACTACACTGTGTGTCACCATTTTGGTTTTAGGGTGTGAGAGGAGATTCACTGCCGATGGCGAACGGTGTGTGACCTATTATTATATTCTAACATTTGATCCTTGATCTTTGTTCCCTTAATTGTGTATTGTCAGTTTGTTTATCTCACTAACACTAACAACAATAAAAATACGATTTAATATTAAGAAAACTCTATCACTATGAGGAATTTTGGGAACCTTGACAAGCCAAGAATAGTCTTTTTTTGTGCTGATACTCACGTATGTGATACTTGAGATATACGATTATTAGGAGTCTCAGCAAATACCTAATATATTCTACATACAGGTAGCATATCTATTTTGAAATTTCGTTTCTGAAAAGTAATTATGGTAGTGATAAAAACTACAATATCACACAATCAAATTACCAAGAATGTCTTTAATATGGACTCTGCTTTACCTTTACGTTTAATGCTAAACTACAATATTTACGGACTTGGTCCACAGTTGTAAAACATCACGATGATGTTTTGATGCGTCATACAAAGTGTTTTTTTATATTCATGTTATTAGACATTAAAAGGACCGTAGGTACTATTCATATCAGGAAGATTACTTCTATTCTATGAATAATTTTTAGGACCAAAAATGATGAATATATATTTTAATTCCATTATAAAATTAAAATTATTTTTTGTAAATATTCCGTAAATGAAAAAATAAAGGTTACAGTTTTTTAGTTCTGGGAGAGATTATATATTCTTGATGAACTATGTTTATTCCTAACTGGTGCTCTGCCTGCATATTTTGTTATTTCATCCATATAATCCATTCTTGTATGTTCAATAGATAGTGGTTCTTATTAGTTTCGTGTAAATCATAAAAAAAATTAAACAAGGATACAAAATAAGTTAAATGTATATTTCATGTCAATTTTTATACATCAATAATCTCTTCTGTATGTGCCGTGTCTTCGTCCTGATCTTGAGGATGATCTGCGGCTCCGTATATGAAGAGGCGCTATACGGTTGAGCTTTCTTATGGGTCGAGCCAGGCGGGACATTTCATAGAGCCGATAGCGACCTTGTTCTAGTTGCAATAAGCCCAATTTGACACCGCGTTTAAGCGCCCTTACCAAGAAATTATAAGATATCATTATTTTTTTACATCAATTTCTAAACTAAATTATCAAAATAATTTAATGTTCAGTTATAATTATAATGCATCAGTCAAAAAACAATTTCGATTATGAAGGACTTTTTTTATAGGTATAAAAACCAAATATTTTTTAAGGACTATGTAGTTTTTTTCTAGAATCTATAGCATGTAGGTAAAACTGATTTTTTTGTTTTGCATTCAAAAAGCTATCAATAATAATAGGAACAAAAGATGACAAATTTGAAATCAAACCAAATTCTGTGTAGTGAATGCTGTAAATATAAGGCAAATAATATTCGTATATTAGCTGAAATTAAAGTAATAAAATACGGTCCTAACTAACAAATATGATGATATTCAATACCTGGAAACATTGCGACTAATTTTTGGATCAGAAACTCTGTACTCCATCTTAATAAATTTTATTATGGTCCGCGCAGTCCATCCTGTATTTTTCATCAATTTTTTTATAGCTGACATAACAATTTCACCAGTTTTTATGTTAGATACTGATGTTTTACCCATCGCAAAATTTGGAACTAAAATAAGATGTGGTATAATTATCATATTTTTTTTAACACAGGGGCAAACGAGGATGCGGCTCACCTAATGGTAAGTGTCTACCACCGCCCATGATCACCCACAACACCAACAGTATTGCATATGCGTTGCCGGCCTTTTAAAAAGGAATACGCTCTTTTCTTGAAGGTTATAATGTCGTTGCGGTTCGAAAATACAAAAGTCGATTGCTGGACCTCTGTTGATTTCAAAGAGTTGTGTTTGCATCTGTGTTTCGTGGAAGATAAAGTGAATTTTGAAAAACGCACGGAATGGAAGACCACCGAAATTCGTTTAGACGGACGAGATAATACAAATATAGTAAATGACTATTGTAAAGTTTCGCGACTATGTAATAATACATGAAATATATACCTATAATATCAAATACTATCATATTTGTAACATTATATTGTATTTTTTCCATAAAATATTAAAACAATGTTATATCTTTTACCAACATTTAAAAACAAAAAAATAAATTCTGTACAAAATCAAGTTCAAGCGTAACAAAATTATTACAGAATTAATATAGGAGTAAACTTTATTCGATTTCAATCAGATACGTAAAAAAACAGTAGAATTAGAATCTCTATTTTCTACGTTGGTTTGGCATCGTGGAAAGAGTCTTGTATGATATAATAGGTATACAGTATGAACATAAAGAATCCAAGTACCTACTGAGAAGAACCTTATCATGATCAGATTCATACGAGTATACCGTCAGAAAATGAAGTCAAAGTAAAAATGAGAGATTCTGGAATAAATAAAAAAATGAGCAAACATAGTTACCCGTATCCGTTAAAAATTAATATATAAGATTTTAATGTAAAATTTGATAAAATGTCTGTGTAATATATTTTTCTAAGATTAATTTGAGGTATAATAAATAAAATATTTTGACATTTGCAGACTGAAGTTTTTAAATTAAGCCATAAGTTTGTATATGAGATAACGGTACAAATAATATAATATTTCACTTGTAGAAATTCTTAATCTAAGCTTTTTTTTTACAACACACGGGGGCAAACGAGCATGCGGCTGACCTGGTGGTAAGTAAGCTTCTATTTGTATGAAATATTTATATGCAATTGGTCGTCTAAATAACATTAATACATACATCGTAAAAACTGTGAGATTTTTAAACATAACTTTTTTGTTGAGACTGAAAATAAAACAGTTTGAAAAACAGAAGGTTGAAGGACGAGGCAATGGAATAATAAAACCACACGGTATACACTAGTGGGGCACCAGTCAGGGATGATAGGTGAGGATGAAGTCATATCAGTTGGCTCATCATGACAATTTTATCAAAAATGAACTACTATGTTTTAAGAGAGAACACGTGAAAATCAATCAGGTAAAGTGAATGTCAGTGAGGATAATGCTCTCCCAACGGATTTGATTTTCAGATTATTTTAAAAGGATTAAGCGCCATAAACGTAAAAATTCAATTCATACTTATTAAATGCCAATTTATAGTACTGGGATGAAAATAAACAGTAAATAATACTATCTCGACAATTCCTTACTTGAGAATTAATTACTTATATAAATACAATTTGAATAGCAAATGAAGTAAACGGAAAAAAATTAATTCATTACTCCTTAATTAATTTATTTATTTAAATAACTTTATTCACCAAATGAGAACATATTACAAAAGGCAGACTTAATGCATTAAGTCTGCCTGTACATTTTGTACATTAGTGCAGAATATTTTTTTGTATTTAGTAATTCCAGTTGTGACTACATCTTTCTAGTTATATATATAAATTTCAGAATAGTTATATATAAAAAAATGAAAAGCGTTATTAAAAATGACTATATTTATTTATTTAAGACTAGCATTGATATGTTTCTGTTTACCAATAATTATGCAGAGGTTGATGGAGTCTTTTCTATCTTTGGCTGGAATCCGTTCTCGTCAGCAATATAGGTGATTTTATAAACAACGCCATCAGGGGCGACCCAACTGTAGGAGCCTTTTATGGAAATCGCTTCATTGTCGGTCCCAGCATTCTTCAGCTCACCTTGTTCTTCTCGTTGCGTTTTGTCGCTTTGTTCAAATCTATGATATTAAATGTTATAAATATAATAAAATAAGATATGGAATCAGATTAGAGGAAGTCTAAAATAAAAGGTAACTATAAAGTTACAAATATTTAAATAAAAATAATATCAAATAATATAATATAGAAAAATTAAAATGATCTGATTTCACGTTTTCTGGTACCTAGTACAAGAACAAACGCCTACAAATTTATTATAAGCAAACGATTGATTACACTATATTTTTGTATCTGCAACTTTGCTTGCTTTGCTTCGGGATATTTTATACATTACTAGATATTTTATCTACTTAACCCAGGTTAACTTTGAGATATAGGTTGAGTTCTATCAGAATTTTATTTGCTATTCGAATGTTATGGCCGTATAAAAAGAATTTGTCTTTATCTTACGACAAATAAGCTTACAGGGTACCTGCAAAGGTGGGGTTGAAATTATAACAGAACTACATCGAAGATTTTGTAAAAAAAAAATATATATAGAATAGAAGGCAAATATAAATAAATATTCGATAAGTAAACAAAAATTCAACATACGAATAGCTATATGTGCCGAGTCCATCGTTGTCAGATTCAAATCGCAGGAGTTGCACTTCTGGCTCATTCTGGTTTTGTGACTGAGGAGCTGGTGCCACTGCAGCAACACCCAATAATACCAGCAATACCAACTGAAAAGGATATATGACAATCCATCACTGCCTGACACTTTCACTAAACGAATTTGAAAGAAAATCTTGATTTTTAAATTTTATTATGATACTGAAAGTTTATACACAAATATTGTAATTTAGGGGAAATTGGTATAAAAATGTTTAAAATATTTTTAAGTTCTATTTTCAGTCGACTAATTTAAGAAACAAACTTCTAAATTGACTCGCGTTTGACTGTTCTGGGCTGTATCTTCAGATTTTCGTTGTTTGGATTCTCATTCTCAGGGTATCCTAGCTTGAGAACCACGAAATTGATTTGATTGTATGGCACTTATTATTATTTCCACCACAACAGGCAATTAAAAAGATATTAAATATTTATTAACTTCAATATTCACTTCGTCAAATTTCACTATAAAACACTATTTTCACAGAACTATTAAATTATCATTGTAATTACCAGCTTCATATTTTTATATAGGCGGTTTACTGGTTTGGTTTATCTTCGAAATTTGTTTATTTGTTAATCTAACACAAGTTTTATACTATTCTGTATATAGTATTACAACATATTATTTGACGTACATAAGCCGGTACAATACTTTCTGTGCTGTTCCTTCAAGTTAGGCGAAGGTGAAACGTGCATCATCAGAGGACACAAATGATGGGAGGCTTTCGAAACAAATTTTAATTATATGCGTATAGGATTTGATAGCTACGCTATTGCTTGAATGATTATATGTTATTGCTGGCAATTAAAGTCTAGTTTGACGAAGGTTTCGTATGTAATTCCAAATTTTGCATTGATAATGACTTTAATCAATACTTACAAGAATAAAATAGCACTTGACGATTTACTGTTCTCTTATTTGCAACTTCATAGTATTTATTATAGTGATTATAAATTATATTATATTATATTATAGTATATGTATTGTAATTATTACTATAATATAAGTACTATATTTGATATGAAATACAGAAAATTTATGTATATTGTAAAACGCATCAATTTATGTCCTGTTAAAATTGGATAATGTCCTATAGTGGTGAACAAAATAAATATTCAAGTTAAATGTGTTCTGATGTTATACAAATATAACATAATATTTTTAAACTAATTGACAACCTATGTAGGTCTATTATTCCATTTTTACGCTATTATTTACATACTTACATATATATCCGTTACTCCTATCTCCCATTGGGATAGACAGAAACAAAAAATCGCCTAATACTCCAACTCAAACAGAGATCTTTCGCTTTCTCTACGTTCAATAATCTTTTTATATATGCTTGCCAGTTACGGAAGCTTTAGCGGTTCTTCAATACGTCGCTTATTAGGTCCACGTACGTCTATCTAGGGCAGCTGCTATCGAAGTCTCTTTCCATTCGTGCTTTATAAATCTTTTTTGTAATTTTTTTTCCTTCCATCCTTTTCAAATGGCCAAACCAAGTTAATTGTTAATATCTTAAATAATATTCTTTATTGTCTTTACAAAAGATTACAGTAGAAAACTTAAGAAAAACTAATAATAGTACTCGTAACTATTAAAATCAAATCCTCAAAAAGGACTACACCTAGTGCTGTTTTTAATACATAAACTTTGAAAGTTAATGAAAAATTGTAGAGTTATAAATATTTATTTATAGCTCTACAATTATAGACAGCATGTGCTGAAATACTATAGAAATAAACGTATATACACATTTAAAGAAAACTGGGGAAGATACGATTATTTTTAGATTTGGAGACTAATACTAGTACTAGGAGAGTGATCTGCTCAAACTATGGACATGTTGACTATCCTCAGGCGTCTGGTAAAAAAAAAATACGTTATTGATACTAGCATTTACTACCTACCTACTGTATCATATTATACACGTATACAGTAGAATACGTTTCACTCTGTAGAATCATATTGTACTAATGAGGAGGAGATTATTATAAGTCAGTATTAGCTGCTTCACTGCAAGTAATATACTCGTACCCTGTCAGATTGAACTTCACGTGATCCTTGGATACCATTATTCTTATACTTCGTGATAAATTCATCACGATAAGCTTTTATCTTTACATCAGCTTTCATCCTCATCTATCTATCACTCCTCACTGGCGCCTTGCCACAGTATGTAGATAGCACAAGCGAGTTACCATTTTATTACCATCCATTAAAAACCAAACAGTTTTACTGAAGATTACAAAAATATACGTAACAACTTCAATACACTCCAATAATGAGGTGCATGTATCTTATAACATGTAAGAAAATTTCACGAGCCATTAATGCCACGAGCCATCTATTTCTTTCAGTGCATGGCAGATGAAGCTAGGAAATTAGTTCTGTTTAGTTATGCGCCTTTACTATCTTATATACCTATATATCTGTCACATCTTCCATTAGGGTCCATCCAGTGACAATTGAAGGCCAAATGCTTCGATTCAAACAGATTTCTTTGGCTTCCTTATTATTATGTAGAGACATTCTTCAGTCTTTTTATAACGCTCGCCGGGTTGCGGATATTTTTATTTTAGCCCTTCCTCAGTACGTCGCCTTTTTGGTCAACATACGTCCGTCTAGGTCAGGCTCGACCGATATCTCCATTCATTTGTACTCCATAGATCTCTTTCGTAATCTTTCTTTCATACATACTCATCAAAGGGCCAAACCAACGCAACATTCCCGATTCAATTTTTATCACTACATCGTCTTTTAGTCTACACTTCTCTTTAATCACACTATTTTTGTATCAATCGTTAACTGTTCACTGCTGAGTATAACCTTCCCCATAGGGGGGGTTTTGTCAGTAGTTACTACGCAGGCGGTTATTGGCAGTGCGGTAAGCAAACCGCAGTTTGGCTTTTAGTGATATTTTAAGAGGAATGTTGCTGCCAATTCCTCAACCATAAGCTCCCTTATTTGCCTCTTATGACACCCACAGGAAAGGCCTCCTCTATGATGGTACACAGCTATGACATTATACTATTTAATATATCATTAATATGATATTATACGTGTTACGTATGATAGATATTTGTTAGTCATTCTACAAGAACTATTGAACTATGCACTGAGGATAGATTGTATCCTCAGTGCATAATTATATGCATTTTATATAAATATATCATTTATTACGATTTTTGTTGTGATGTAAACAATATATCATTTCATTTACATCTGTCTTAACTCAAATTAATTAACATAATATTGACATGCATAATATACAACGAAAAGTATCCCCCGTTAATGGAATTTATTATTTATAACTAATTTGTATTTTAATTATTAATTATCCTTTTCTATATATGTTTTTCTGTATGTCTTTATTTATATTCTGCTTTATATGTTTGTGTATAGATTGAGAATAATACATCTAGTCCTATGCTTAATCTTAGTCTTTTATTATTCATATATAGTAGTATCATATTTATTCTCATTTAGATAAAATAAAAAAAGAACAGTAATATACTAAGTATTCAATATAATTGAAGAGTAACACTGTTATTAATGATCAATTAGAAAATGGCTTTACATATAAATTATTATTAATTTACTAGCATTAGCCGCGACTTTGTTTAATTGGGATATGTGTTTTGTTTGATAGCTAATTTCCGTCTCCATCCCATTTAGTATATGTATACCATACCATATATACTCGTATAATGTTAGTATACAGTTTTTTGTATACATTAATAAAGATAATACTGAGTTAATCAGCAAATGAAAAAAAACTTGTTTATAACAATGAGGGTTGATATTAAGATTTAATAAATATGTATGTCATAATAACAATGCACGGAACTTTCAATGAACTAATCATTCCCATATTTTGCTGATTTTTTGTAAAGTCTGCCTGGGAATTTGAGCTTCAAAAGCCGTGGGATTTTTAAAAGGCATTCAATAAATGAAATAAGCTTTTGTGCAAGTTTTGTCTAAAACCTTGACAACATTTTAGCAACCTCCGTGACGCGTTAGAAACTATGAGAAAGGCCATATTTTAAATGTTTCTGGAATTAACATTACTTTAATGATCATTATTCGATTTATCTTTATACATTTTAACTGGTATGAATGTAAAACTACTCATACTATTCTAAACTAGAATTACAAACAAATTAGGATGGAATAGATTTTAAGTTAAATAATTCTATATTAATAAAAATTATTTACCTATTATTATTAATATAGAATTCTTTAAATCAAAATATGTAAATAGGACAAATATGGCAAATTGCATTAAAACCTATTGATTTATTTGTGTTCGAGTAACAAACACAGTTTAAAATAAAAAAAAAATAGCATACTTTTGTCCTAATTCCTATAACTTGTGTTGTATAATATAGTTAATTTGCAATTTTAGTTCCATAAAAATTCTAAAATATTTGTTTTTCACAAATGAAAATTACATTTGTCCAAGACGCCTTTTTTGTGGAGAAAAAATATTTGATACATTGAAACAGTTAGAAGGTTAAGAACCCCATTGCTAGCAATATACACTATTAGGTTGACCTCCACACAATTCTGGAAGCTATTGTGTTTAATTTATTGTTGAATTCGTCATGATGGGCTAACTGGCCTACTTTGGGGAGGGGGGGGGGAAGGGATTGTTAGTAATGCAGATTATTAGTTCCATTGCTAACAATATACCTTAACAGGTCGACTTCCCCGTAGTCCCTCCTGAAAACCATCGTGCTGAATTCAGAGTGTATTCATCACGATGGGCTAACTGACCTGCTTTCATCGTCACCTATCATCCCTCCCTGGTGCCTGGCCAGCGTATACCAATAGCGCAGACGGGATAAACATTCCAGTATCACCCATTAAAAAAAACTGGCCTTCTTCATCGTCACTTATTATCTCTCACTGGTGCCCTGTCAGTATATACCGTTAGCGTGGGCAGGGTTACCATTCCGTTATCATCTATTAAAAAAGTGGGAAGGATTATTCATAAAAGACTCGGCAAAGTTTTTTTCTTTTAATGAATTAGTATATAAATATTATATACAGTTTCATCATATTATTTATTCTATTAACACTTAATATTTTCTGTCAAGAAAATTTATATGACGTTATTATCCAAGAAAAGACGCTATAACTCCACTAGGGATGCTACCGCCAGGTCCTTGTTCAATTCTTGGTTGAAATCCGTTTTCGTCAGCTATATAAGACACTGTATACACTACTCCATCAGGTCCAACCCAAGAGTACTGGCCCTGAACAGAAATGCTCTCATTTTCAGTTCCCTGATTCTTCAACTGACCTTGTTCTTCTTGCTTAGTACCGTCTGATAACTCCACCCTGGAAACATATTTAATTTAAATAATATTCTAGGTTTTCTAATGAGAATCTCATACCTAGAAATTGTCGAAGTGTATGTAGGTGACAACTGCTAGACAGAGTAATGTGAAGTATAGGTAGGACACCATGGGACGCTGATGGATTAGGACTGGTTTTTATGGCAATGAAAGAAATCTGTTTTTAAGCATTGGAGAATGGTTGAAATGATGATGACCAACGGTCTCAAATTACAACAAGAACGTTATTACTCACGCATAACTATACGCTTCCAGTCCGGTATTATCAATATCGTAACGAAGAATCTGGACATCCTGAGGATTCTGAGGTGCGGCCGCGCCGACGGCAACAAAAACGAGAACCAGGAACTGAAATAAGTAAATTTAATTTCACACGATTGTTCACATATATCATCACTTTATTTCACTTATTTATCCACTGCACTACTAACCAACTTCATATTTCAATTGTTTGTGCCTAACAACTGCTTCCTTCAAACAACACTTTTGGTGTGAGCTGATTACGTCTGCAAACACTTCTCTTATATATTTATTCTAATATACTGGTTGCAACATAGTGCGGGATGAACATACGGTGTACCTTATTACAATAAGTCACAAGATGCACCAACCGCCATAAAGTGAACGTACCTACGGAGTATAGATACAGACATGCATCATCGATTATGCATTTGAGAAGAACTGACTTGACCCTTACAACTTTTCTTAAGTAATAATAGCAGTGCAAATGTCAATGTTAATAGGGATTTCAAAAGCTAATAATCTTATTCTCATGATAAACAGTAAACTCTTCTAAAACATTTATCACACAATGTGGTCATCTAATTATAGTTTACGAAAAATGTTACTTTTCGTTATTTATGGTATTAAACACTTTACAACAGCCACTTGTCGGCATAGATTTTGAATTATGATGTAAAAAGTTTCTTGAACATTTTAATTGTACTAATTTTGCCATCATGGAGTTTAAATGTTGTCTACATACGAGTATTATATATTGTTTATTTTCTAAACAAAATGTTTATAGAATGGGTATGAATGAATAATTAAGTATGAATGAGATAGATTGATTGAGATAGATTTTAGATGTGATTTTGTTCGTTTTCACTTGGCTTCTTTCAAAGATGTGACGTTAAAGGTGAAAGTGCATTTAGTTGTAAAAATTGAAATTATGGAAAATATTTCAAGTTCAAGATTTTTATTTCGTTACCCTTGTTCCTATACTATGTTGCAAAAAGGTATTTAGTGTACAACCGTTTAGGATTCACAGTAATATAAATCTAGGACAGCTTTTATATGAACTGAACTTACACTCTAAATGGTTCATAAAATCTGATGGACAAAAATAATGACAACTAAATCCAATATTTTGTAATGTAAATAAACATATCGAGACTTCTCAATATATGCATATAAGTAAAAAAAAAAAACAAAATAACAAGTAACTTTATCTCTCTATTAGGGATTTAGGTCACGATTTTTTTTTTATTTTATTATAACCAACACTTTGTGGTTTACATGTGTCGAATTTGTAAATAACAATAAATTTTTCATGTTAGCATGAATTTAAAAATATCTGTTCAGTAAATTTCATTGTTAAATATCGAATCTCGATTAATTATAAATTTAATCGAGATTCGAATAAAAGAACTCTCATTTTAGTAAAGTAACGTGTTTATCACTACACTATAGAGTCAAGCAATTTATTACAGATACTTATTATTTGAACAGACTTTAAAAATAGAATATCTTATTATAATAATGACATATTCAAATAAAGCTAGTTTTTTATTTGTAAGGAAGAAGGGTAGTCAACATCTCCATTAACCCCAATTTCATTGTCAACTTCACCTGCTTGCGTCAGTATACAACTATAACTAATTGATTGGATTTCGTGATATTTTTTGTTGTATAACTAATTGTTATTTATATTACTTGTTATTGCTCAATATAAAATAATAAAATTTCTTAATAAAATTTTGGTTGTAATATTATACTTAAATATTGTAATATTTCTGTATTTACAGTTTAATTACAAGTTATTATTATTGCATAAAATACATAATCATAATCTTTTTCATTTTACTTATCTAAAATTCTCTCTGTTTTATTTAATGTCACAAAGATGATAAATTTAGTGCTATATTTTAATGGTACTTTATGAGTTTTTACTATTGACATAAATATAATAATAATATTTACGGTATAAATATTGAATAGAATCATTGTAACATCGAATAATCTTCACTGAGCCTTTACTTAAATGAATTGCCATGTAATCCCGGCATAGAATAGGCCACCCCTTGTTTTCTCGTGGGTGTCCTAAGAGACGATCAAGGGGAACTAATCTAGTCAAGGGACGGGTAGCAACGTCCTTCCTAAAAGATCACCAAAGCCTAACTGCGGTTGCCAATCCACTTGCCAAGCGTGGCAACTATTTGCAAACCTTATAGGAAAAGCCCATATCCAGTAGACAGTTAACGGCTGATATAACGATGATGATAAATGAATCTAGCATAATCATCCGTTAAAAAATATAAATAAACAGTTTGTCAATATGCAAATTTATTAAAATTAAATTTATTATTACTGTCTATGTGCCTAAATAATGTCCGAATAATAATGTATCTTAAGTAACAGTGCAATCAAATAGAGAATAAATTCTTTGTCTTTTATTAGGTAGTATTTTTTAGAATAAGAGAAATGTTTTCTTTAGACAAATGGTACTTAAACCGATATTAATGTTGAATCTATTTTATTTGTATTTAAATAACACATCACTTTGATAATCCAGTCCTCTTGTACTTTAGTAAGGTGTTACAGAAAATAAATAAAAAACAGTCTCTTTACCCAACCGATGAACTAACGAAGAAGAGAAATATTATACAGGTACATATGGATATGTGTGGCTGGATCTTTACATCTACATATATCCTAAACATCACATAATATGTTTATTATTACATACACATATTAATGTGTGTGTGTGTGTGTGTACATATGTATATTATGTATATGTAGTTTGTGTCAAAGAAGGTTTTTATAATTGGATGTTTGTTATTCACTAAATACACATATACTTACACATACAAATACAGCTAAACATTACACAGAAAGAGAGAGGAAGATGGTACACATAACTTAGATTTATAGTTGTTTTATCAACATATCATACTTTTTGTCCAAATTTCCGCAGACAAAGCTGCGAGACACGGTTACTATTGTATATTGTAATGTATTAGATATTAAAAAAATCGATCTATTGATCATTACTGTAGATAATATCTAATGAAGGAATTTTGTCTATTTTATGTATAGTTATGTTAGTGTTCTTATAAGGTTGTGGGAACATCAAGCTGCCTCGGCCTTTAGCATTTTAAATTAAATTGGTTGATGTTATTAGGAAGATGATGCACTAACAATATGTCGCTAAAGTAGTTCTTATTACAATGAACATAAGGTTTATACTCGATGCAGTTCAAGTGCCATGTTAATATGTGTACCTACAAACCGCGAAGTAAACAATCATACACGGAAAAGTTCAAGGTTCCATATTACGCTGCATAATTTTGTGTTCAATTGATTTCTGATGAGTGTTTAGGTGCAAACATTCACATAACATCATTGGGGTCAAAGTTATTTTCATATTTTATTGTCGTCACTTGTTTTAATTATCCAAAGAAAATATTTTATTTATTATATTTATTAACTTGGGTGGAAAGGGATTGTTAGTAATGGGGTCTAACTAACCCATTATCCGCAGTACACCCTATCAGGTCGACCTCCACGTGGTTTCCCCAGGAAATCATCATGGTTAATTCTAGTGGAATTTGTCACGATGGGCTAACTAACCTACCTTTTCATTCTCACCATTTATCTTTCCCTGGTGCCCCGCCAGTTTATATCGATTACGCAGGCGCGGTTACCATTCCATTATCACCCAAAAAAAAAAACTAAGAGAGCTTGACACTTTAACAATTCGCTTTCTTAATAATCATAATTTATGAAACATAATAAAATATAATTGTTGGACAATTTATTGGCATTTCGCGATATTCGACTATTTTACAAGTCTATATATCCAAGTTCTATACCATAATACATAACTCATGACGCCGTTGAGCAGAGTCAATGCCAGTAGAAGAGGAGCCTGTTTTGCTAGCTCTAATATTTTCAAAGAAACATGGAAAAAGTACCTTTGTCGTGCTCAAATATAACTAATAATAATAAATAATGGAAGGTGCTATAATAATATGCCATAAATAATATTTACAAATATGTATATATGTATGTACCAATACATTTATATTTTACTAAAGTTATTTTTATGAAAATATCGTTATAAAATAATTCTCTTGTAGTTACTTATATTGTTTTAGTTATTATATTAGTATTTTCGATAATTTGTACAATTTTCCGTAAGTAAATAGGGAATATTCAGTTGTTAATTAAAAATGATTTTAAAATATAAGTCCATTTTTAATAAATAACTTGACATCTATTCATATAATTTTTGGAATAAGCTTTTCAATACTATTTAATTTGACAGCTAATATTTCGTAAAAGAGACTTACCTGATAAAAAAATCGATAAACTTTTTTTTTATTAAAATATTTACCTATAAAAACTAAAACCTTCTTCGAACATATTTCAATTTATTCACGGTTTTGTTACTTTATATCGAATTGGGAATTTAGCGCAAGAGGTAACGACAAAAATATAATCAAAAAATTGCATGCGCAAAACAGTTCAATAGCTAAAATAGATTTATGGGAGGTTTGACGTGTGTCTGAATAAGGAGGTAACGTAATTAAAACGTTAATTATTCTATATATCTGTCCGCAAAATATCATGAAGAAAATATTTGCTGCAGAAATTAGCCTGTGATAATTAGACAAATTGACGACCAGACAATACAGTTATCATTTCTAGTAATAATAACAACTCCAACTTTGCCATTTGGCCATGACAAAAATCCTAGAAATAATTAATAAATAGGATAAATAACAGTTACAATTGTAAAACCCTAAATGCCTAAAGCCACTATTTGTTGTTAGACTTTATGTGTGACCTGGTACCACGGTCCATTTATAATCGCACCAATTGTGTGAATTGTTTATATTACCAGTCAAATGATACATAATAGACTACATTGATTGCATAATTCTTTGTGTTGTAATGAGGTTTGTCTAAGAGAATTAAATGTTAACATAACATTTCAGTTCAGTAGATTAAACCTAATCCCACAGAAAAAATAAGCAGTTTATTCTATTTTATATTTAACAGTGTTCTAAAATCAAAATCAATTCTATTTCATAAAATCATTCTAAATTTTTTTGTAATATGTCACCAATTGAAGAATAAAACGTTAGATTGTGTCCTTGAAGATAATAGTCATTAACGTCATCATAACAAATTATTAATATCTCTCGACTGGGTGTGTGACTAGACTAGACTTCCATATTACCCAGTGGCAATATGAATAGTTTTATTTAAAGTTCTTTTGTTTTTTTATTTAAAGTTCTTTTGTTTTTCTTCTATTGCAGGTTATGCTATCAAATCGTCCCTTATGGCGTTATGGGAAGTAATAGAAGGTGATATTTTATATTTGATATTTATCAGTACAATATAATT